AGGTAACGGCAGCCACCTGCCACAGGTAACGGCAGCCACCTGCCACAGGTAACGGCAGCCACCTGCCACAGGTAACGGCAGCCACCTGCCACAGGTAACGGCAGCCACCTGCCACAGGTAACGGCAGCCACCTGCCACAGGTAACGGTAGCCACCCTGCCACAGGTAACGGTAGCCACCCTGCCACAGGTAACGGTAGCCGCCTGCCACAGGTAACGGTAGCCGCCTGCCACAGGTAACGGCAGCCACCTGCCACAGGTAACGGCAGCCACCTGCCACAGGTAACGGCAGCCACCTGCCACAGGTAACGGCAGCCACCTGCCACAGGTAACGGTAGCCACCCTGCCACAGGTAACGGTAGCCACCCTGCCACAGGTAACGGTAGCCGCCTGCCACAGGTAACGGTAGCCGCCTGCCACAGGTAACGGCAGCCGCCTGCCACAGGTAACGGCAGCCACCTGCCACAGGTAACGGCAGCCACCTGCCACAGGTAACGGTAGCCACCTGCCACAGGTAACGGTAGCCGCCTGCCACAGGTAACGGTAGCCGCCTGCCACAGTTAACGGTAGCCACCCTGCCACAGGTAACGGTAGCCACCCTGCCACAGGTAACGGTAGCCACCTGCCACAGGTAACGGCAGCCACCTGCCACAGGTAACGGTAGCCACCTGCCACAGGTAACGGCAGCCACCTGCCACAGGTAACGGTAGCCACCTGCCACAGTTAACGGTAGCCACCTGCCACAGGTAACGGTAGCCACCTGCCACAGGTAACGGTAGCCACCTGCCACAGGTAACGGTAGCCGCCTGCCACAGGTAACGGTAGCCGCCTGCCACAGGTAACGGTAGCCGTCTGCCACAGGTAACGGTAGCCACCTGCCACAGGTAACGGTAGCCACCTGCCACAGGTAACGGTAGCCACCTGCCACAGGTAACGGTAGCCACCTGCCACCGGTAACGGTAGCCACCTGCCACAGGTAACGGTAGCCGCCTGCCACAGGTAACGGTAGCCACCCTGCCACAGGTAACGGTAGCCGCCTGCCACAGGTAACGGTAGCCGCCTGCCACAGGTAACGGTAGCCACCTGCCACAGGTAACGGTAGCCACCTGCCACAGGTAACGGTAGCCACCTGCCACAGGTAACGGTAGCCACCTGCCACAGGTAACGGTAGCCACCTGCCACAGGTAACGGTAGCCGCCTGCCACAGGTAACGGTAGCCACCCTGCCACAGGTAACGGTAGCCACCCTGCCACAGGTAACGGTAGCCACCCTGCCACAGGTAACGGTAGCCACCCTGCCACAGGTAACGGTAGCCGCCTGCCACAGGTAACGGTAGCCGCCTGCCACAGGTAACGGTAGCCACCTGCCACAGGTAACGGTAGCCACCTGCCACAGGTAACGGTAGCCACCTGCCACAGGTAACGGTAGCCGCCTGCCACAGGTAACGGTAGCCACCCTGCCACAGGTAACGGTAGCCACCTGCCACAGGTAACGGTAGCCACCTGCCACAGGTAACGGTAGCCACCTGCCACAGGTAACGGTAGCCACCCTGCCACAGGTAACGGTAGCCACCCTGCCACAGGTAACGGTAGCCACCTGCCACAGGTAACGGTAGCCACCATGCCACAGGTAACGGTAGCCACCTGCCACAGGTAACGGTAGCCACCTGCCACAGGTAACGGTAGCCGCCCTGCCACAGGTAACGGTAGCCACCCTGCCACAGGTAACGGTAGCCACCTGCCACAGGTAACGGTAGCCACCTGCCACAGGTAACGGTAGCCACCTGCCACAGGTAACGGTAGCCACCCTGCCACAGGTAACGGTAGCCACCTGCCACAGGTAACGGTAGCCACCTGCCACAGGTAACGGTAGCCACCCTGCCACAGGTAACGGTAGCCGCCTGCCACAGGTAACGGCAGCCACCTGCCACAGGTAACGGCAGCCACCTGCCACAGGTAACGGTAGCCACCCTGCCACAGGTAACGGTAGCCACCTGCCACAGGTAACGGTAGCCACCTGCCACAGGTAACGGTAGCCACCCTGCCACAGGTAACGGTAGCCGCCTGCCACAGGTAACGGTAGCCACCTGCCACAGGTAACGGTAGCCACCCTGCCACAGGTAACGGTAGCCACCCTGCCACAGGTAACGGTAGCCGCCTGCCACAGGTAACGGTAGCCACCTGCCACAGGTAACGGTAGCCACCTGCCACAGGTAACGGTAGCCACCCTGCCACAGGTAACGGTAGCCGCCTGCCACAGGTAACGGTAGCCACCTGCCACAGGTAACGGTAGCCACCTGCCACAAGTAACGGTAGCCACCCTGCTACAGGTAACGGTAGCCGCCTGCCACAGGTAACGGTAGCCACCCTGCCACAGGTAACGGTAGCCGCCTGCCACAGGTAACGGTAGCCACCTGCCACAGGTAACGGTAGCCACCCTGCCACAGGTAACGGTAGCCACCCTGCCACAGGTAACGGTAGCCACCTGCCACAGGTAACGGTAGCCACCCTGCCACAGGTAACGGTAGCCACCTGCCACAGGTAACGGTAGCCACCCTGCTACAGGTAACGGTAGCCGCCTGCCACAGGTAACGGTAACCACCTGCCACAGGTAACGGTAGCCGCCTGCCACAGGTAACGGTAGCCGCCTGCCACAGGTAACGGTAGCCGCCTGCCACAGGTAACGGTAGCCACCCTGCCACAGGTAACGGTAGCCGCCTGCCACAGGTAACGGTAGCCGCCTGCCACAGGTAACGGTAGCCGCCTGCCACAGGTAACGGTAGCCGCCTGCCACAGGTAACGGTAGCCGCCTGCCACAGGTAACGGTAGCCACCTGCCACAGGTAACGGTAGCCACCTGCCACAGGTAACGGTAGCCACCTGCCACAGGTAACGGTAGCCACCTGCCACAGGTAACGGTAGCCGCCTGCCACAGGTAACGGTAGCCACCCTGCCACAGGTAACGGTAGCCGCCTGCCACAGGTAACGGTAGCCACCTGCCACAGGTAACGGTAGCCACCTGCCACAGGTAACGGTAGCCGCCTGCCACAGGTAACGGTAGCCACCCTGCCACAGGTAACGGTAGCCACCTGCCACAGGTAACGGTAGCCACCTGCCACAGGTAACGGTAGCCACCTGCCACAGGTAACGGTAGCCACCTGCCACAGGTAACGGTAGCCACCTGCCACAGGTAACGGTAGCCGCCTGCCACAGGTAACGGTAGCCACCCTTCCACAGGTAACGGTAGCCGCCTGCCACAGGTAACGGTAGCCACCTGCCACAGGTAACGGTAGCCACCTGCCACAGGTAACGGTAGCCGCCTGCCACAGGTAACGGTAGCCGCCTGCCACAGGTAACGGTAGCCACCTGTGTATAACATAAAGGTTTGGATCCCAGTAGTGCATTCGGGTTCCTTCTCGACCCACAATCGAGAATTTCGGGTTCGAATCTCGTGCGGGACAGAAATGGTTGGGCACATTTTCTTTCATCTAATGCAGCTGTTCACTTAGCAGTAAGTAGGTATTCGGGAGTTAGCTTGTTGTGGGGTTGGGTGGGGTCAGTAATTCGGCCCTGGCGGGGGGGGGGGGGAGACCTCGATAAAAACCATACGTGTATGAATACACACTGGCTTCCTGTCCCGCAACACAATGAATCTCTCTTATTAATTATAAAGTAACTTAGGAATTAAGTTACTTTATTAAGTTACAAAATTACAGGAAGTAATTTTGTGATATTATCTTGAGGTTATCTTGAGATGATTTCGGGGCTTTTTTTAGTGTCCCCGCGGCCCGGTCCTCGACCAGGCCTCCACCCCCAGGAAGCAGCCCGTGACAGCTGATTAACTCCCAGGTACCTATTTACTGCTAGGTAACAGGGGCATTCAGGGTGAAAGAAACTTTGCCCATATGTTTCTGCCTCGTGCGGGAATCGAACCCGCGCCACAGAATTAAGAGTCCTGCGCGCTATCCACCAGGCTACGAGGCCCCCTCGTATTAAATGAGTTCTATCTCAAATTTGGTGGTAGGAATTAGTAGTAGAGTATTTGATGGTGCTTCAGGACCAGTGTGGCAGCCTTCCAGGACTTGAGGTAAGACTGAAGGATAGATGCAATTGGTTATGTAATAATCTAAGATGAGGTCTGATAAAGACCTTTTGTGTGCCCTCTGTAATGCTTTTTTGCGCTACCGCTCACAGGATGGGTATGGGGCGCACAATAAACTAGCCGCCTGTCTCTGTGGACCAACACCAACATTGATGCCAATTAGCTTTCCACGTTTCGTTTATCTCCTACCTGGCCAGCTGTTATGGCCCACAGTAGTAAGTTAAGGGTCCTCTGATAGGTTAGGTGGGCAGGAAATTCTCATAAAGTTTCAAAACGTTATGAAAAACGTTAAAGAAAAGTTTCCTCTTCTAAGCTTGCCGAGTAAGCCGGACGACTCAAACAGAAAACGGAACAGTACGTCACTTTTGTGAGTCGATTTCATTTCAAATTACGTCCAAATTTGGGCATAGTGCCGCGCATACGAGCCAAAAGTGACGTTATTTTTAAGAGGACGGGTTGATATATCATCATAAGGGTAAATCTTACCTTTAAGGGGCGTCTTTTTCTTTCTCTTAAAGGTGGATTTTGTATATTATTTTCCCCAAACACCAGAGACCCGTTTTCATCTCGTGCGCACCTTGTTTGTCTTGTATTATCTCCACGGCCAACCCGTCTAGATTTACAATTATTACTTAACCTATCAACGGTATAGGTTAAGTAATAATTGTAATTAAGAAACAATAAGATGCTTATCTTAACATACTAAGAAGGTTAGGTGAGGTCGGTGTTTTCTATGAAACTTTTCAAGGTAAACTAAAATATTCACAATCAATTAGTATGTCACATATGCACTTATTAAATAAGCCAATATTGACTATAAGCAAGTGCTAGAACGGGTTGCATTAAGTAATATTTTATGTTACACAAAATATTGTAGTTAGAAACCGTGTTCATCTTGCATTATGGCGCGAAATATTACGGGTATTGTGACGCTCCACAATAACCCACCGGGTATTGTGACTCTCCACAATAACCCACCGGGTATTGTGACTCTCCACAATAACCCACCGGGTATTGTGACGCTCCACAATAACCCACCGGGTATTGTGACGCTCCACAATAACCCACCGGGTATTGTGACGCTCCACAATAACCCACCGGGTATTGTGACTCTCCACAATAACCCACCGGGTATTGTGACGCTCCACAATAACCCACCGGGTATTGTGACTCTCCACAATAACCCACCGGGTATTGTGACGCTCCACAATAACCCACCGGGTATTGTGACGCTCCACAATAACCCACCGGGTATTGTCACGCTCCACAATAACCCACCGGGTATTGTGACGCTCCACAATAACCCACCGGGTATTGTCACGCTCCACAATAACCCACCGGGTATTGTGACTCTCCACAATAACCCACCGGGTATTGTGACGCTCCACAATAACCCACCGGGTATTGTGACGCTCCACAATAACCCACCGGGTATTGTCACGCTCCACAATAACCCACCGGGTATTGTGACGCTCCACAATAACCCACCGGGTATTGTGACGCTCCACAATAACCCACCGGGTATTGTGACTCTCCACAATAACCCACCGAGTATTGTGACTCTCCACAATAACCCACCGGGTATTGTGACGCTCCACAATAACCCACCGGGTCTTGTGACTCTCCACAATAACCCACCGGGTATTGTGACTCTCCACAATAACCCACCGAGTATTGTGACTCTCCACAATAACCCACCGGGTATTGTGACTCTCCACAATAACCCACCGGGTATTGTGACTCTCCACAATAACCCACCGAGTATTGTGACGCTCCACAATAACCCACCGAGTATTGTGACTCTCCACAATAACCCACCGAGTATTGTGACTCTCCACAATAACCCACCGGGTATTGTGACGCTCCACAATAACCCACCGGGTATTGTGACTCTCCACAATAACCCACCGGGTATTGTCACGCTCCACAATAACCCACCGAGTATTGTGACTCTCCACAATAACCCACCGGGTATTGTGACTCTCCACAATAACCCACCGGGTATTGTCACGCTCCACAATAACCCACCGGGTATTGTGACTCTCCACAATAACCCACCGGGTATTGTGACTCCACAATAACCCACCGGGTATTGTGACTCTCCACAATAACCCACCGGGTATTGTGACTCTCCACAATAACCCACCGAGTATTGTGACTCTCCACAATAACCCACCGGGTATTGTGACTCTCCACAATAACCCACCGGGTATTGTCACGCTCCACAATAACCCACCGGGTATTGTGACTCTCCACAATAACCCACCGGGTATTGTGACTCCACAATAACCCACCGGGTATTGTGACTCTCCACAATAACCCACCGGGTATTGTGACGCTCCACAATAACCCACCGGGTATTGTGACGCTCCACAATAACCCACCGGGTATTGTGACGCTCCACAATAACCCACCGGGTATTGTGACGCTCCACAATAACCCACCGGGTATTGTCACGCTCCACAATAACCCACCGGGTATTGTGACGCTCCACAATAACCCACCGGGTATTGTGACTCTCCACAATAACCCACCGGGTATTGTGACTCTCCACAATAACCCACCGGGTATTGTCACGCTCCACAATAACCCACCGGGTATTGTGACGCTCCACAATAACCCACCGGGTATTGTGACGCTCCACAATAACCCACCGGGTATTGTGACGCTCCACAATAACCCACCGGGTATTGTCACGCTCCACAATAACTCACCGGGTATTGTGACTCCAGATTCCTCGGGACGTACTCATAGTTTTCTACATTTCCATTTATCGTTCGCTCACGAATTGGTGTTGGCGTGTTGGGGCAGGATCGACACGCTGACTTGACGCCTTGGGTCGAACCTTCCCGGGGAAACATTCTTATTTACGGCATTCCGAAGACTGTTCGAGGTTGTTCGTCATTCGCACCGATCTTTCTCCTCAAGATTTAAGAAGGATATTTTTCTAATGAGAAGACATCTCCATTGAAGCATTTTACGTGAGCTTCCTTATATAGAAATTTATCATTGAAGTGTAGAAAATACATTATTGCAAGTTTATCCACAACGTAAAGTTGAGAAGTTATATTGAACCGTAAAGAGCTTTATACATTGGATATATTACTATATACATTGGATATATTACTATATACATTGGATATATTAGTATATACATTGGATATATTACTGTATACATTGGATATATTACTGTATACATTGGATATATTACTATATACATTGGATATATTAGTATATACATTGGATATATTACTGTATACATTGGATATATTACTATATACATTGGATATATTACTATATACGTTAGATATATTACTATATACATTGGATATATTACTGTATACATTGGATATATTTCTGTATACATTGGATATATTACTATATACATTGGATATATTACTATATACATTGGATATATTACTATATACATTGGATATATTACTATATACATTGGATATATTACTATATACATTGGATATATTAGTATATACATTGGATATATTACTGTATACATTGGATATATTAGTATATACATTGGATATATTACTGTATACATTGGATATATTACTATATACATTGGATATATTACTATATACATTGGATATATTACTATATACATTGGATATATTACTGTATACATTGGATATATTACTATATACATTGGATATATTACTGTATACATTGGATATATTACTGTATACATTGGATATATTACTATATACATTGGATATATTACTGTATACATTGGATATATTACTGTATACATTGGATATATTACTATATACATTGGATATATTACTGTATACATTGGATATATTACTATATACATTGGATATATTACTGTATACATTGGATATATTACTATATACATTGGATATATTACTGTATACATTGGATATATTACTGTATACATTGGATATATTACTGTATACATTGGATATATTACTGTATACATTGGATATATTACTATATACATTGGATATATTACTGTATACATTGGATATATTACTGTATACATTGGATATATTACTATATACATTGGATATATTACTATATACATTGGATATATTACTATATACATTGGATATATTACTATATACATTGGATATATTACTGTATACATTGGATATATTACTGTATACATTGGATATATTACTGTATACATTGGATATATTACTATATACATTGGATATATTACTGTATACATTGGATATATTACTATATACATTGGATATATTACTGTATACATTGGATATATTACTATATACATTGGATATATTACTATATACATTGGATATATTACTGTATACATTGGATATATTACTGTATACATTGGATATATTACTGTATACATTGGATATATTACTATATACATTGGATATATTACTGTATACATTGGATATATTACTGTATACATTGGATATATTACTGTATACATTGGATATATTACTATATACATTGGATATATTACTGTATACATTGGATATATTACTGTATACATTGGATATATTACTATATACATTGGATATATTACTGTATACATTGGATATATTACTGTATACATTGGATATATTACTGTATACATTGGATATATTACTGTATACATTGGATATATTACTGTATACATTGGATATATTACTGTATACATTGGATATATTACTGTATACATTGGATATATTACTGTATACATTGGATATATTACTATATACATTGGATATATTACTGTATACATTGGATATATTACTGTATACATTGGATATATTACTGTATACATTGGATATATTACTATATACATTGGATATATTACTGTATACATTGGATATATTACTGTATACATTGGATATATTACTGTATACATTGGATATATTACTATATACATTGGATATATTACTGTATACATTGGATATATTACTGTATACATTGGATATATTACTGTATACATTGGATATATTACTATATACATTGGATATATTACTGTATACATTGGATATATTACTATATACATTGGATATATTACTATATACATTGGATATATTACTGTATACATTGGATATATTACTATATACATTGGATATATTACTATATACATTGGATATATTACTGTATACATTGGATATATTACTGTATACATTGGATATATTACTGTATACATTGGATATATTACTGTATACATTGGATATATTACTATATACATTGGATATATTACTGTATACATTGGATATATTACTGTATACATTGGATATATTACTATATACATTGGATATATTACTGTATACATTGGATATATTACTATATACATTGGATATATTACTGTATACATTGGATATATTACTGTATACATTGGATATATTACTGTATACATTGGATATATTACTGTATTCATTGGATATATTACTATATACATTGGATATATTACTATATACATTGGATATATTACTGTATACATTGGATATATTACTGTATACATTGGATATATTACTATATACATTGGATATATTACTGTATACATTGGATATAATGCTCACTTCCTAACATATCTAATTTCGAGATATTTATTATTCGGCAAAGAATTCGATTACAATATTATTTTAATAACATTACAATCTCTTAAATTTTGTTGTGATCGCAATCTTTGAAGAAATAAAATTATCTAAGAAGAAATATAGTGGAATAGGTATTTCCTAATACCTTGGAGGGTGCCGTGATTCAGTAGGCTACATATTTAATGTAGCTGGTTTTGAGATATTTTTTGAGATATATACAAGAGTTGTTACATGGTTGTACAGCCACTAGTACGCGTAGCGTTTCGGGCAAGTCCTTAATCCTATGGTCCCTGGAATACGATCCCATGCCGCGAAGAATCGTTTTTTCATCCAAGTACACATTTTACTGTTGCGTTAAACAGAGGCTACAGTTAAGGAATTGCGCCCAGTAAATCCTCCCCGGCCAGGATACGAACCCATGACATAGCGCTCGCGGAACGCCAGGCGAGTGTCTTACCACTACACCACGGAGACTGCCAGACTTTTCGCATAAAGATCATAAATTTCACGTGTAAGGAAATGATTTCGTTATGGACAGGCGAGTGATGGTTGAATTACGGGCTATTCATGCCCGTGCCACCTCTTGTGTGGCTTAATCTTCATCAATCAATCGATGGTTGAAGATCCTGTACGGCGAATTCATTATTGTGGGTGAAAGGCTGTAATAAGGGTTATCCTGGTGAGCTGAAGATGACCCACGATAACCTCTGTGCTTCATATGGGTTGAGACTCGTATTTCACTCGGTGTCGGGCACGTGGTTTGGACCACACGAGGCCAAATTTGGCGGGGCGGCATCTTGCTGGCCTTGTGTGGTTCTGGTCGATGGCTTTAGTCACCCCTGGTTATATTGAGCGGCTGCCCCGTTTTCTCTGTTGTACTGGCTGGGACTGGTAAATTAAATTGAAATTGAAATAAGTTTATTGAGGTAAAATACACACAAAGGGATGAGGTAGCTCAAGCTATTCTCACCCCGTTCAGTACATGGTGTTAATACATACATAGACACACATCACAAACAATAAACATATTACCAAACATTCTGAGAGATAAACATATACATTTCCTATGGGACTGGTAAGTGGAGGTCTTAAACCCCTGATATAAACTTAAGCTTGATTTCAGACATTTCAGTATTATACTGTTCCTTACTGTCCGTTTAATAACACGTTAGTAACCTTAAGTGTCAGGGGTATAATAATAACCTGAATTTACCTAATGACCACTTTAGTATCTCGACGGGACAGAAAGCCGGCGACTTGTCTAAACCATTTTCCTGGAGCATTAACCAACTGATGGCTAGCATTAACCTAACATGAAAAGTCAATTTTGACGACCGCTGTGCTTGACCCATTATTTGGGAAAGTGACCTTAGCCCTGCCAGCATGACCTGACCAAACTCTGTGGTCATTGACTGCTGCTCGGTGTGACATACTGTATACTCGCCTAGGTATACAGGTATACTCGCTTGCGGGGGTTGAGCTCTGGCTCTTTGGTCCCGCCTCTCAACCGTCAATCAACTGGTGTACAGGTTCCTGAG